TATATATATATATATATATATATATATTTATATATATAATATAATTAAATAAATACAAATAAATATAAATATATAAATATAAATATATTTATATAAATATATATTTATATAACAGCAACAGCCCTTATCATTGTATAAATTATGTCTCCCCCACACGCAGCAAAGAGATAAATACATAGAAATAAAGAGAATAATATAAATATAAATATAAATATAAATATAAATATAAATATATTTTTATGTTTATAAATATAAATATAAATATATTTATATATATATTTATATATATACTTATATATTTATATAGCAGCAAGCTTATAGGACCTTTATAATATTTTATAAATTAAATATTTTTGTTTTTTAGGGGTAGAGAGAAGAACCCTAGATAAATACAAAGAAATAAAGAGAAAAATATAAATATAAATATAAATATAAATATAAATATAAATATAAATATAAATATAAATATAAATATAAATACAAATATAAATATAAATATAAATATAAATATAAATATAAATATAAATATAAATATAAATATAAATATAAATATATTTATATAACAGCAAGCTCCGATAGTGTATAAATAAAATATTTTTATTGTATGAGGAGGAGACAGTTTATTTTCGTAAGAAATATAGATAAAGAGACAGAAAAAAAGAGAAAAAAAAAAACAAAAAATAAATATAAATATAAATATAAATATATATTTATATTTATATAACAGCAAGCTTAAAAGCCTGAGAAAGTTTATATATTAAATCCCTTTGTTGGGGGGGAGGGAGACAGCTAGGCAAAATATTTTTTTTTATAAGAGAAGAAAAAACAGAGGAGACAGGTGCTAGTTGTTTTATATTTATACATTTCTCAACAAAAAGGAGACAGTTAGATAAATAAATATATTCATTTTCTGCTTCAATAATATAAAAAGGAATAAAGCTAAGGAGACAAATATCTCTGAGGTCTTTTATAAATAAACTAATTATTTTTTTTATTTTATCTATATTCATATTCTCCTCTTCTTCTCTTTCTTTCTCTCTTCTCTCTCCCCTCTCTTCTCTCTCTTTTCTCTCTCCTTCTCTTTCTATTCTTATACATGGGTAGGAGGGGGGCCCCCGGGGGGCCCCCGGGGCCCCCACTGTCTCCTCGTATGTCTTCTCTATATTTTCTACGTATGATAGACTGCTGCTGCTGCTGCTGCAGCTGCTGCTGGTGCTGCAGTAGCTGCTGCTGCTGCAGCTGCTGCAGCTGCTGCAGGAGCAGCAGCTGCTGTTGCTGCTGCAGTAGCTGCTGCTGCTACTGGTGCTGCTGTAGAGGGCTGGAAGAACTCATCTGCTGCTGCTTCTGCTGCAGCAGCAGCAGCAGCAGCAGCAGCAACCGAGTGCTTTGCTGCTGCTGCTGCACCCCCTAAAGAAACAGCAGCAGAGACAGAAAGAGAAGGAGATGTAAATGTGGTAGTTGTAGGAGAAGAGAAAAGAAGAGAAGAGGAGACACGCTCGGGTGTATCCGCAGACACCCCATCATACATACTTCCCCCGTTCACAAACAGCAACTGCTGCTGCTGCTGCTGCTGCTGCTGCTGCTGCTGCAGTTGCTGCTGCTGCTGCTGCTGCAGTGGGTCTTGCAACGCTCGAGCTGAGACAGTGGACATACACCCCAAACCGCTGCCTGCTGCTGGCGTTTCTCTCTCCTGTATACTACGCTGCTTGCTGCTGCTGCTGCTGCTGCTGCTGCTGCTGCTGTTGCTGCTGCTGCTGCTGCTGCTGAGGAGACCCGAGATGCGGCGCATAAGA